CTGCAGTGTACAGCCTGCAGTGTACAGCCTGCAGTGTACAGCCTGCAGTGTACAGCCTGCAGTGTACAGCCTGCAGTGTACAGCCTGCAGTGTACAGCCTGTAGCGTGTCCCGCTAATCCCTGAGAGTTAAAGTTGCACGCAGAAAAATTCGTGGGTTGAATTAACCTGCACCTGCAGTGCCGGTAAATAGCACAATTTCCTATAAGAATATCATTATGTTCACTATATTATTTACGATTAATAGTGATAAAAAAAGGTTGCTTTGATGTTAAATATGTCACTGGCCGTGGGAAAAAACTCAATTTTTTTTTAGAAGAACTCAATTTATTTGAGAAGAACTCAATTGTAGAAAAACTCATTCTTTTTAACTCACTGAGCCCAAAAATTGAATTTAAAAATGTTGGGATATATAAACTTTTTTAATATATGGGGCACCGCCCCCCAATAAGGAGCGTGGATGGGGAGAGAAAATAAAGGAGGCTATTGAAATAAAAATCAAGACATTGGGGAGGGGTTGGGGAATTCAGTACGTGGGGATGGATTGGGGGGGGGACTTGAGGGAAGAGGTGCCCTGGTTTTTCGTGCCCTTTGACCCCGAGTAACCCCCCTATGGGGGTTAGCTCCTTCCGTTGTGAGGGGGTGGGGTTGTGGGGGCTAGGATGCAGAGGTCGAGGTAATATATCACCCAAAACATGGGGATTGAGGGGGGATGGTTGGGCGTATATTTCGTGCCCTATATTCACCAACAATGCAACAAATAACCCCTAATGATGAAGCATTCATCCTACATGACGTAGCCACAAGCATTCATTTTTTCACGTCACTCATTCATGGCGTTGGTTAATTAATTATCATGCATTCGCCATATTATTGCAAACTTAATACTTAAAACATAAATTAATTACTGTACATTTCCATCAGTGATTACGCTAGCTCTATTATTAGAGTAATTAGGAGTAGTAACATTACAGTGTTGTAACATAGCAAGTAAGAGTAGTAATGTGTTGCAGTGTAACACAGCAAGCAAGTGTAGTAATGTGTTGCAGTGTAACACAGCAAGTAAGAGTAGTAATGTGTTGCAGTGTAACACAGCAAGTAAGAGTAGTAATGTGTTGCAGTTTGCGGCCTGCGCAGCGCGACGCCCGTCATCGTCTTGGACCTGCCGGAGAGCCTCGGAGGACGTAAGTGACGACGTCGCAAGTGACGACTTGTGTGGTCGTAAGTGACGACTTGTGTGGTCGTAAGTGACGACTTGTGTGGTCGTAAGTGACGACTTGTGTGGTCGTAAGTGACGGCTTGTGTGGTCGTAAGTGACGACTTGTGTGGTCGTAAGTGACGCTTTGTGTGGTCGTAAGGACGCTTTTTACAACGTCAGACGCATGCCTCGTCGGTTAAAATTAAAAAACCTTCGTAAATTTTCAATTAATTTAAATGTTTTGGTGTGAAAAATTGAAGACACAGCAGAAATTATTGAGAATATTGCAAGTAACAAGGTACTTTTTGTCCTTTTGTGGGTCATCCTGACTCAGTTTTGCCCGCCAAATGGGCATATCAGTGCTACGTTTTGTGCGATGGATGAGAAACAGTTTCACTATTAGGGACAATATGACTCATACATTTTTGTGAGTGCAGAGACGGACCAGCAGACAGACCCCGCCGAGTTGCCGCTGGTGGGGAAGGTTGGGGAGGAGATCCAGCTGAGTCTGTCCCCAGAGGGCGGGGAGTTCTTCAACCTGACGGGGAAGCGGCTTCGGCTGCTGCAGCCCCTCGACAGGGATGCGGGAGACCTAACGACCCTCAGGTTTACCGTGAGTGTCAAGCTTAAATACATTATATAAATAAGTATCATATACCCCAATTAACAACGAGAAATAATATATACAGTGCCATATACCCCCAATTAACAACGAGAAATAAAATAGAATAACCGTATTATACGTTTCGAACGTAACAGTCCCAGGCCGCGCTGCACTAACTCCGCCTCCACATTAAAAAAGTAACGTTAAAGTAGAGTAACGGATGCCTGACGTACAATACACTGAACAGGAGAATTTACCCCTGTTATCAACATGAAATACAATAGAATAATGAAAGAATAGGTAGCAAAAAATAAAGTCAAGTAATGGCTGCCTGAGGTACAATTCACCTTACAGGTTGAAATATCCCCATTATTAACATGAAATACAATAGATTAATGTAATATAACAAAAAAAATAAAGTAGCGAACGCCAGACGTACAATGTAAACACAGGTCGTGTGTCGGGCGCTGCGTGCGGACGCGGACGGCGTAGTAATACAGCGCAGCGTCCCTGTTGTCGTACGCGTCGTCGACCGCAACGACAACGAGCCCCGCTTTGTGGGCGCTCCTTACGTCATCACCGTGCCAGAGGTACGATGGCGGGTTGCTGCCGAATCATATGTAAAAAGATAAATACGAGCTGCATCAATGTGCCAGAGGTATGATGAGATATCATGTATATATATGCCGAATTTTGAAATAATATCAACGATGCTTCTGTGGGACTCGGAATAGTACCCACCTATTTTAATTGCCGTGTACGGCTTCTTCACACCGACCTATTCATTTATTTATTTCAGTGTATCTATCATCAATTTTATCCTATCATCACAATGATGATAGAATTTGAACTGCATTCGAGAAAAAAAATTTTGCTCGCACGTTAACGCACGACGTCTCGTGTGCAGTCCACGCCCGTGGGGGCGACGGTCTTCAAGGGGCTGCTGGCCACCGACGCAGACCACGGGGCTAACGGGCAGATCAGGTGGGGGGAGGGGGTGGTACCTACAGTACAGTGGTACCTGCAGTGCAGTGGTACCTGTAGTGCAATGGTACACTGTTAGAAAAATGACCGTTTACGGTATTTCCGGCGTTTCAGTGGCCGGTCGGCACGTGAAAAAACGTCGTTTCGCCGTTTTTATTATAATTTAACACTAGAAAGTCGTAAAACATCTGATAAAAACGGTGAAACAGTTTATTTTCACGGGGCGATCGGCCACTAGAATGCCAGTGGGACCGTTTTTTCACCGTTTTTTCTAACAGTGTACCTGTAGTGCAGGGGTACCTGTAGTGGTACCTGCAGTGCAGTGGTACCTGTAGTGCAGTGGTACCTGTAGTGCAGTGGTACCTGCAGTGCAGTGGTACCTGCAGTGCAGTGGTACCTGAGTGGGTACCTGCAGTGCAGTGGTACCTGCAGTGCAGTGGTACCTGTAGTGCAGTGGTACCTGCAGTGCAGTGGTACCTGCAGTGCAGTGGTACCTGCAGTGCAGTGGTCCGTGCAGTGCAGTGGTACCTGCAGTGCAGTGGTACAGCCCCGTCTTCACTGTGCAGGTACTCAGCTGTACCAGGTACAGGGGGGCCCACGGACGGCTATGGTACCCTGGGGGTGGCGCTCCCCCACGTACCACACGTCACGGTACTCGCCCCCCTCGACTACGAGGCCTCCAGGGTACTGGTACTCAACGTCCAGGCCACGGTGGGTGGGGTACTTGATGTGGGGTACTTGAGGTGAGGTACTTGATGTGGGGTACTTGAGGTGAGGTACTTGTTGTGGGGTACTTGATGTGGGGTACTTGGTGTGGGTACTGGGTGTGGGTACTTGATGTGGGGTACTTGATGCGGGGTACTTGGTGTGGGGTACTTGGTGTGGGGTACTTGATGTGGGGTACTTGATGTGGGGTACTTGATGTGGGGTACGTGATGTGGGGTACTTGATGTGGGGTACGTGATGTGGGGTACTTTATGTGGGGTACTTGATGTGGGTACTCGGTGTGGGTGCTTGATGTGGGTACTTGTTGTGGGGTACCTGATGTGAGGTACTTGGTGTGAGGTACTTGGTGTAGGGTACTTGGTGTGGGACACTTGATGTGGGTACTTGGTGTGGGGTAACTGGTGTGGGTACTGGGTGTGGGGTACTTGATGTGTGGTACTTGATGCGTGGTACTTGTTGTGGGGTACTTGTTGTGGGGTACCTGATGTGGGGTACTTGGTGTGGGGTACTTGGTGTGGGGTACTTGGTGTGGGGTACTTGGTGTGGGGTACTTGGTGTGGGGTACTTGGTGTGGGGTATTTGATGTAGGGTACTTAATATGGGGTACTTGATACGGGGTACTTGATGAGGGATTATCTCTTGGGTGATACATGATATTTCCCCCTCCCGCCGAGAACAAGGTTGGGGGAACTGATGATGTCCTCCTCCCCCTTCCTCCAGGATGGGGAGCGGACCAGCCTCACGACCCTCACGGTCCACGTGGAGGACAGCGACGACCAGAACCCCCTCCTCCTCCCCTCCCCCTGCTGGCCTCCTCCCTCCAAGGTGGGTGCTGCTTCCCCCCCTCTCTATCTCCCCTCCCCCATCTGGCCTCCCCCCTCCAAGGTGGGTGCTGCTTCCCACTCACCTCCTCCCCTCCCTTTGCTGGCCCCCCCTCTCCTACTGTCCTCCCCCGGCTACCCCTTCCCCATGTAGGTGATGCCCTCCTTTTCCCTCCACCCTCTCACGTCTTAAGATCCCTTCAGGTAACAAGTCCTCGAAGCTCGTTCAAGGAAAACTAAGCAACGGCCATGCTGATGCACCGCCCTCGATGCTTGCCTTCCAAGCGCCGCTCACCAGCCACAGCAAGAAATGAACTGAGCTTCCAGAGGCTCGAACCCACGACTCATTCCATTTGATACCGCCATTTCTCATCCGCAAGCGCCAGTGCGTCGGTGGACTCCGTTGAGTGAACACCGTGCTTGGTGGAAGAATATGGAAAATGTCAATAATGACGAGTTGGATGAAGTTTCTGATGAAATTCTTGCAAGTCTAGCTTAATAGATAAAAAAATCAACATAGAGTGCAGGTGAATGACTCGGTTGGATTGAGAGATAACTTGGAGCATCATCGACTTTGTTTCGTGAACTCACGGAGCGACGCAGCTGCTCACATCACGGCTGCTGCAGCTCAACTGGTGTACGTCGCTTTCTGGCGCGAAAAAAACGAAGCCGTTTGTTATCGACTGCCCGCTGCTTACTATACTTTCCGCTGAAGAAGAAATTAGCCCGATATTTGAAGTGGAAAGCACTTGCCGCCAGTAGGGTAACATGGGGCAGCGAGCCCACTGCGGGTCACGGGCCCATAGCGGGTTTCTCGCTAAGTATGGCAGATATTGGTATACATTCCTCATTAGTTGCACCTTTAAACAAAACAAAGAACCACCTCGTATCAATTAAAAGTTCATCAAAAATTTAGTTTAAAAAAAGGGGGGGCGCTCTGCCCCATGTTGCCCTACTATGGGCTAATACTTTCTCATTTTTTAATACTTTCTTTTCGTCTCATGCATGTTCGAAGTGGAAAGTATTTGCCGCTAATACTTTCTCCTAATACTTTCACTGTTTAAGGGCATTTTAAGCGAGTTCTCAGTCATATGAGCTACAGCCCTTACTATAAATTACTTATATATATTAACCCCCCCCCAGGTCCCTCCACCGGACTGCACCCCGCCCCAGTACAGCGCGACGGTCGTGGCGGGCCAACGGGCCGGTCTGCTGGACGTCCTTCCCGAGCGAATACGGGCCGTAGACCAGGTACACTATCTACAGACCCTACTAACTCCCTCTCCCTAACTCACTCCACTCACACCCACATCCCCTTCCCTGACCCTCTCTCACCCCCTCCCTCTCACCTCCTTCTCCACACACCCCTCCCCCCTCACTCCCCTCTTNTCCAGACTCATCTCTCTCCCACTTCTCCCCACTTGACCCCCTCCTCCCACTCTACCCTCCTCACCCCCACTCAACCCTCCTCTCACCCACTCAACCCCCCTCACCCCCTCACCTCCTCACCCCAGGACACCCAAGGGGCGGGGATGCGGTACTCGTGGGCGTCAGGGACGCCGTCGTCCTTCCGTCAGTTCTTCGCCGTGGACGCCACGACGGGCGCCGTCAGCCAGCTGGCGCCCGTCCCCCGGGGGATGGCGGACGTCTTCCTGCTCAGCGTCAGGGTACGTCTTCCTGCTCAGTGTCTGGGTACGTCTTCCTGCTCAGCGTCAGGGTACGTCTTCCTGCTCAGCGTCAGGGTACGTCTTCCTGCTCAGCGTCAGGGTACGTCGTCCTGCTCAGCGTCAGGGCTGTCTCTTATACACATCTAGATGTGTATAAGAGACAGGTATTGGGCCGTGCTCTCTACCGCCGGTCGACAGTTTCACTGTGATGAAGTGTACGGATTTACGTTTTGCTAAGTGTTTGCGTTATTAAGTTCTTTGCGAATAACTGTTTTAGTCCAGATAAAAATTTTTTTGCAGCTAAAGAAAGTTTTTTTCGATTACTATAGATGAAGCTTTTGAAATTACTGTGAATTATTTTTTCAAAGTAATATTTATAGGGATAATTTTGAGACCAAGTTTAGACTATTAGCTTTTAAAATAAAATGTTGACACGATATAAATTGAAATGATACCTAGTGGGGGCAACGGGCCCACGCGTGTCACGGGGCAAAGCGCCCATGGTGAAGTCTCTGTCTCTTATACACATCTAGATGTGTATAAGAGACAGGTCCCGGTACTGCACGCCTCCGACGGTACCGGTACCGTGCCTGAGAACTCCGCCCCCGGTACCCCGGTACTGACCGGGACCGGCGCCCCCCTCACCCTCACCGTCTCCGACCCTGACCATGTGAGTGTACTGGGACCTTGGTACCGGGACCCTGGTACCGGACCCCGGTACCGGGACCCTGGTACCGGACCCCGGTACCCGGACCCTGGTACCGGACCCTGGTACTGGACCCTGGTACCGGGACCCTGGTACCGGACCCCGGTACCCGGACCCTGGTACTGGACCCTGGTACCGGGACCCTGGTACCGGACCTCGGTACCGGGACTCTGGTACCGGACCCCGGTACCCGGACCCTGGTACCGGACCCTGGTACTGGACCCTGGTACCGGACCCTGGTGCAGGACTCTGGTACCCGGACCCTGGTACCGGACCCTGGTACCGGGATCCTGATATCGGACCCTTGTACCGGACCCTGGTACCGGGACCTTGGTACCGGACCCTGGTACCGGGACCCTGGTACCGGACCCTGGTACCGGGATCCTGGTACTGGACCCTAGTACCGGACCCTGGTACCAGACCCTGGTACCGGACCCTGGTACCGGGCCCTGGTACAGGGACCCTGGTACCGGGCCCTGGTACAGGGACCCTGGTACCCGGACCCTGGTACTGGACCCTGGTACCGGGCCCTGGTACAGGGACCCTGGTACCGGGCCCTGGTACAGGGACCCTGGTACCGGACCCTGGTACCGGACCCTGGTACTAGTTAATTAATTTATACTAATTAGCCATTAGCCTTTCAATCCCTACATTCTCCCCTCATTAAGGGGAATTTTATCATCACTTTAAATCCCTCAAGTGGGGAAGTAACAGGAGGGGGGGGGAATTCCCCCACATCCCCCAAGTGGGTGGAGTTGTGTATGGTCTGTAATCCCCTTTTTTATTCGTGACCCCCCAGTTGGGGGACGAGAACCCCCCACTCTATCAGTTCGAGCTCACGACGGGAGCGTTCAAAGTCACCCCCGCGGGGGTGCTGGTCGTGGCCGCCCCCCACCTGGACCGCGACCCCCCCAACACCCCCACCCACTTATTGCAAATAAGCTGGAATATTAGCTGCAATATTAACGGGAATATTGCAAATAAGCTGGGATATTAGCTGCAATATTAACGTGAATATTGCAAATAAGCTGGAATATTAGCTGGAATATTGCAAATAAGCTGGAATATTCCAAATAAGGTGGAATATTAGCTGAAAAATTGCAAATAAGCTGGAATATTAACGGGAATATTGGCAAATAAGCTGGAATATTAGCTGAACTATTGCAAATAAGCTGGAATATTAACGGGAATATTGCAAATAAACTGGAATATTAGCTGGAATCGTGCAAATAAGCTGGAATATTAGCATAAAAATCGCAAATAAGCTGGAATATTAGCAGAAATATTGCAAATAAGCTGGAATATTAGCTGATATATTTCAAATAAGCTGGAATATTAGCAAAAATATTGCAAATAAGCCGAAATATTGGCAGAAATATTGAAAATAATCTGGAATATTAGCTTGAGTGTTGCAAATAAGTTAGAATATTAGCTGGAATATTAACACAGATATTGCAAATAAGCTAGAATATTAGCGTAAATATTATAAATAAGCTCGAATATTGGCAAAAATATTATATATAAGCTGTAATATTAGCTGGAATATTAGCAGAAATATTGAAATAGACTGGAATATTAGCGTAAATATTATAAATAAGCTTGAATATTAGCGTAAATATTAAAATAAGCTTGAATATTAGCGTAAATATTATAAATAAGCTTCAATATTAGCGTAAATAATATAAATAAGCTTGAATATTATCTAGAATATTATAAATAAGCTGTAATATTTTAAATAAGCTGGATTTTTAGCGTAAATATTATAAATAAGCTGTAATATTAGCTAGAATATTAGCAGAAATATTGAAATAGACTGGAATATCAGCGTAAATATTATAAATAAGCTGGAATATTATAAATAAGCTGTAATATTAGCAGAAATATTTTAAATAAGCTTGAATATTAGCGTGAATATTATAAATAAGCTGGAATATTATCGTAAATATTAAAATAAGCTGTAATATTAGCTGCAGTCTCGCTACTCCACTCAAATGACATGCCAGCGCATGACGCTGTTATTTGTTTTAAAGCAACGCGATTACGCTAAAAGTTTGCTCGGCCATCCAGATTTAGATTTCGTTTTGGTTTTTTAATGCAAATGAGTTTGTGTTAATTTCCTGCATGGGGAGCTCATGATGAGGGAGATGCGTGAATATTTTGTTCTGTATAATTCATGTATTTTGTTTAATATATGAATACTTGTTTGAACGACGACGTGTACAGGTGTATTGCATGTGTGTTGTGATGAGTAGCGATTTGTAGTGATGTGTTGTGATGTGTTGTGATGTATAGTGATGTGTAGTGATGTGTAGGGATGTGTAGAGGTGTGGTGTGATGTGTAGTGATGTGTAGTGATGTGTAGTGATGTGTAGTGATGTGTAGTGATGTGTAGTGATGTGTAGTGATGTGTAGTGATGTGTAGCTGTCTCTTATACACATCTAGATGTGTATAAGAGACAGACCTCTACCTTCTGATGACCTCTACCCTCTAGTGACCTCTACCCTCTGATGACCTCTACCCTCTAGTGACCTGTACCCTCTGATGGCCTCTACCCTCTGATGACCTCTACCCTCTAGTGACCTCTACCCTCTGATGACCTCTACCCTCTAGTGACCTGTACCCTCTGATGGTCTCTACCCTCTGATGACCTCTACCCTCTAGTGACCTCTACCCTCTGATGGCCTCTACCCTCTGATGACCTCTACCCTCTGATGACCTCTACCCTCTGATGACCTCTACCCTCTGATGACCTCTACCCTCTGATGACCTCTACCCTCTGATGACCTTTACCCTCTGATGACCTCTACCTTCAGATGACCTCTACCCTCTCATGACCTTCTACCCTCTGATGACCTCTACCCTCTGATGACCTATACCCTCTGATGACCTCTACCCTCTGTTGACCTCTACCCTCTGTTGACCTCTACCCTCTGTTGACCTCTTGTGATTTTTCCTTTCAATTTTCCTCCATTCCCCCCCCCCTTAAATTACCCTCCTCCCCTCACCCCCCAGGCGATGGACCGTGGGGGGCTGCGGGGGGCGACGCTCCTGGAGGTGCGGGTGGCGCGGGGGCCCAACTCTGGGGGACCCTACTTCCCCCGCCGCTCCCTCAGCGCCCTCGTGCCCGAGGACGCTCCTCCGGGGGCGCCTGTCATCACCCTCAAGGTGGGGCGCCTGGGGCGCTAGAGGGTAACTAGAGGGTATTAGTGGGTGGGTAACTAGAGGGTGGGCGCTATAGGGTAACTAGAGGATAGCTAGAGGGTGGGCTCTAGAGGGTAGCTAGAGGGCACTAATGGTAGGTAATAAGAGGGTAACTAGATGGCACTAATGGGTGGGTAATTAGAGGGTAACTAGAGGGTAGGTCAGCTGGCAATATAGGGAACGTAACTAAAGGATAATTCGAGTGGTAGTAGAGGTAAGTCGAGTGGTAATCGAGGGTAACTCTCGTGAACATTACGACGCTTGTCCTTAAAAATGACAATAATGTAATAATAAATATGTATATATAATAATACAAATGTAATAGTAATGACACACGAGTATGTTTTAGGAACTATATTTGAATGATAATATATATCAATGTAATTAATATCATTAATGATATTTGTATTTATTGCAAATTTTATATAATTTTATCTATTGTATATTATTACTGGTTTTGTTAAATGCTGCTTATAATGTATAAAGATAATTAAATCCCCCTTCCCCAGGCTGTGGACCCCGACGGGGATGTCCCCCGCTATAGCCTGCACCCCATGAAGGGGGACACGAGCCCCCCTCACCCCCCACTCCCCTTCACAATAGACCCTCTGAGTGGGGAAGTCTCCCTCGCAGCCCCACTAGACCGGGAGGCTAAAGCAACATACTCAATGGTCAGAATATTAAACATAATTTGATAATAATTTAATGATACTTGATGTAAATGTAAATGAGAATTTAATGATTATTCAATGAGAATNTGCAAGTAACGGGCCATTAACCCGTTACTGACGACCGTAACAGTGCAAGTAACGGGCCATTAACCCGTTACTGACGGCGTCCCCTCAGATCGTGACGGCCGAGGACGACGAAGGGCTGCGCGGGTCCGTCACTCTGGACGTGACGGTCACGGACGTTAATGACGTACGGCCGACGTTCCTAGACGAGCCGTACTCCTTCAGGGTCCAGGAGGGTCAGGACGTCACGTACCTGGGCACCGTCAGGGTACGTTGCCGGCCCGTTACGGTACGATGAATAATTTTTTAGTGCAAATCCCCATAAATTATATATCTAATATAGGTATTTTGCATATATATTTATATATTATTTTTGCACCCCTAATCCTATATGCTTATCACCAATCGAAATAAAAAATTGGATTAAAAAGTAGCGTAAGTAAAAGTAACGTATATTTCTAGCATCTTCTATCCCCGCCAATACCCCTTCCACTCTGATCCCCCTTCCCCCCAGGCGCGGGACGGGGACGAGGGCAGGGCGGGGGTGGTGCAGTTCTCGGTGCCCCCCAATTCCCCCCTCTCGGTGGCACCCCTTAACGGCTCCCTCCACACCACCCGCCCCCTCGACTACGAGCAGCAGCAGGTGCCATGTACCAATTATACGAGCAGCAGCAGGTGCCATGTACCAATTATACAAGCAGCAGGTGCCATGTACCAATTATACGAGCAGCAGCAGGTGCCATGTACCAATTATACGAGCAGCAACAAATGCGACGTACCAATTTTCCTAGCATTATGAATAATTCGTTACGACTAACCGAAGAGTTGAAGAGTATTTATTACTCTAGAACAAAATTTTAAATGAAAAATCAATTTAATGGATATATAATAGAATAATATTATAGATTATCTATCAATTTGCATTAAACACTTCGAATCATGAGAATAATTACCAAGAAAGTGGATTTATTTCAAGTACCATATGGTATTTTTGAAATATAAATTCATATCATGGAAATAATATATAATAAACATAACGTTTGGCATACATTGACATATATATCACCATCAGGTGCACTATGTGGTGGTGACGGCCACTGATGGTGGTCGTCCTCCGCTGTCCGCCACCACGACCCTCACCCTCCTGGTGGAGGACGTGGGGGACGAGCCCCCCACTTTCCCCCAGGAGGTGTATGACGTCACTGTGGGGGAAGACACCCCCGTTGGGGGACTGGTCACCACAGTCCAGGCCGTAGACCCCGACTCCTCCCCCACCATCACCTACGTCCTCAAGGGGGTCGCTCCTCCACAGGGTGAGTGTGGGGGGAATGCCCCCCCCCTTAAGGGGAGAGGGACTGTGGGTGAATATTCCCCAGGGGGAGTTATTCCCCTATTTTGGGGGGTTATTGCTAATGATATTACCCCCCCCCATCCCCCTATTGGGCGTAATTACTAATGCTATAACACAGCATCCCCCCTACTGGGGGTAATTACTAACGCCATTACCCCCATCCCCCCCTACTGGGGGTAATTACTAACGCCATTACCCCCATCCCCCCCTACTGGGGGTAATTACTAACGCCATTACCCCCATCCCCCCTACTGGGGGTAATTACTAACGCCATTACCCTCATCCCCCCCTACTGGGGGTAAGTACTAACGCCATTACCCCCATCCCCCCCTACTGGGGTAATTACTAACGCCATTACCCCCCATCCCCCCTTATTGGGGGTAATTACTAACGCCATTCCCCCTCATCCCCCCTATTGGGGGTAATTACTAACGCCATTACTCCCCACCCCCCCCCTATTGGGGTAATTACTAACGCTATTCCCCCTCATCCCCCCTATTGGGGGTAATTATTAACGCCATTACCCCCCCATCCCCCCCAAGGGTCGGGGCTGTTCGGTGTGGACGGGACGACGGGACGCGTGACGGTGATGGCGCCCCTGGACAGGGAGGTGCTGGGGACGGTCGTCCTCACGNCTCAGGACACACTTGTCATACTCTCAGGACACACTTGTCATACTCTCAGGACACACTTGTCATACTCTCAGGACACACTTGTCATACTCCTGTCTCTTATACACATCTAGATGTGTATAAGAGACTTATCTTATCTTGTTGATTCTCGCTTTATCTTATCTTGTTGATTCTCGCCTTATCTTGTTAATTCTCGCCTTATCTTGTTAATTCTCGCCTTATCTTGTTAATTCTCGCCTTATCTTATCTTGTTGATTCTCGCCTTATCTTATCTTGTTGATTCTCGCCCTTTCTTATTTGTTAATATTCGCCTTATCATATCTTGTCATGTTAATTCTCGCCTTATCTTGCCCTATCTTATCTTGTTTATTTTTGCCTTATCGTATTATATCTCGCTTTTCTCGCATTATCTTGCCTTGTCTCACGCTATTTCTTTTCTCCATCAAACTCTCACTTTCATATCTCACCTTATCTTATTTATCTCATGCTATTTCACTTCTGCTTGCCTAATCTTAGTACTTTATTAATAATATTCGATTCATTTCTCCCACAGTAAATCATATCTTCGGAATAAGTTCCGGATTGTTAATAATATGAATATTATTAATAATATTATTAAGCCACATGATAAGCTCTTATCTTTATCTCCAGCATTTAATGATAACACACACTATACTACACAATATTGTGCTATATTCACAATATAACTCAATTCAACACTATAATCGGCAATGATATCTTCAAAATATTAATATTTTAAATCTAGAATGGTAGATCATTTAAACTTTCTCCCCACCTCCCCCTTTAATTATTCACCCCTCCTCCCTTTAATTATTCACCCCCCCTCCCCCCGTAGGGTGAGGTGGTGGTGAGGGATAAGGGGGAGCCCCCCCGGTCCTCCTCCTCCCCCCTCCTCCTGCTGGTGGAAGTTAAGGGGGAGCCGCTCCCCCGCATCGTCCTCCCCCCCGCATTCTCCCGCAACCAGGCAAGCCCATTAGTCCATTAGTTTTTGCTCCATTATACGTAATATCTTCCATTAGTTTCTATTTAATTATTAATGATATCTCCCTTTAGTTTTTGCTCCATTGATAATTATATCTTGCATTAATATTTGGTCAATTATTACTATTATAAGATATCTTCCATTAGTTTCTATTTCATTATTTGATTATATCTCTCTTTAGTTTTTCCTCCATTGTTAATTATATCTTCCATTAATTTTTGGTCAATTATTAATCAGACCTGACACTAGTTTTGGTCCATTCTCTATGATATAATCCATTTCCTATTACTTGTTGACAAATTGTTCGATATTTGAGTAAAGTTTCTTATTTTAATTCAAGATGTATTTGCGGGTGTATAATGATTGCAATAGATGATAATGGTGGTGCGCATAATGATTGCAATACCTAATAATGATGATAATGATTATAATAAATGCTAATAATGATGCAGGTGTCAGTGGAGGTGAGGGAGGACGCGAGGGTGGGGGGCATCATTGCGAGGGTGGGGGTGATTAACCCCCCTCCTCACCCCCGCTGCATCATCACCCCTCCCACAGGTGGGTGCGGGGTTCGAGGGTTGATGATATATGTTTGATACACGTTATATATCACCCACTTATACAGTGTACACGTTTCCTCTACCTGTACATGTCTCAACCAGCAGTACAACTACAGTTTCTAACTCATCTCCTGAAATTATCTCCCTGATTCACTCACTCCCTCACATCCTGACTCACTTCTTGACTTACCCCTGACTCATCACACGAATCACTCCTTGACTCACCTTCTGACAGACTTGACAACAACAATATTTTTCTGAACCCAAACGCAAAATTTAGGTTCGTGCCCGACTCTGCATCAGGCGCCGCCCAGGACTCGGGGAGCGCGTAAATCAGCCGCTCATGTCCGCCTCGGCCGGGCTTGAAGTGCAGCCTCTGAGCAGCTTGTAAGCTCGGCATGACTCGGCCATGACAACCGTTGTCATACTCTCAGGACACACTTGTCATACTCTCAGGACACACTTGTCAAGCAGACCCAGAATAACTTTAAGCGAGTGTAGCGACTCTACGGCAGACGCCGAGGCGGTACCCAAATTTTGTTCGGGTTATTCGCCGTGAACTCCTGATATTCATTTGTCACCCGTGATTCATTATTTCCCCCAGATGAGTACCAGGCCATACTCACCCAGGCAGGTGACTGCGCCATTCAGCTCATCTCGGCGCTCGACGCTGACGGGAACACTTCACCCACGTCACCCACCGCACCCACGTCACCCACCGCACCCACCTCACCCACTTTGCTCACCCTGCACTTATTCACCGACGACCAGGATCTCAATGTTACCGCGAGGGTGAGTAACGCAAGAGTAATGCAATCTTAATCATGAGTAACGTATGAATAATGCAAGAGTACCGTATGATTGGAGTACCGTATTAGTAACGTATAAATAATGCATGATTTACGTAGGAGTAACGCAAGAGTAACTCATACCTAACGCTTGAGTAACTTGTAAGCAGAGATGGGCAGTAGCGCGCTACATGTAGCGGTCGCTAGTAGCGGCAGCTACATTTTCAGTAGCGGTAGCGGTAGCAGCGCTACATTTAAACAATTGTAGCGGTAGCGGAGGCGCCCGCTTCATTTAGAGCATGTAGCGGTAGCGGCCGCTACATTTCAAAGTAGCGCTGCCCAGCTCTGCTTGTAAGTAACGCATTGTAACGCTGCTGTCACCGCAGATCAACATAACGCTCTTGGACGTGAACGACAACGCACCTCGCTTCGTCTTGACGAATATGTCATCTTCTGACGATGGCGGTAGTGGTGACGATGGTGGTGGTGGTGATGGTGGTGGTGGTGGTGGTGGTGGTGGTGGCGGTGACGTGTTAACGAGACGTGATGATGGTGCCCTCATCCTCGGCCCCGACACTCTGCTCGTCACCATCTCTGGTGACAGTGACGTGGGCAGCATCGTCACGCACCTCCTGGTGAGTCATGCAGTAGATGTGATGTTCATACAAGTAACAAATCGAAGTAAATAATTAAAGTACCAAATTCAAGTAAAAAATTGAAGTACCAAACTCAAGTAAAAAATTGAAGTAACGAACTCAAGTAAATAATTAAAGTAACAAATTCAAGTAAAAAATTAAAGTATGAAATTCAAGTAAAAAATTAAAGTACCAAATTCAAGTAAAAAATTTAAGTACGAAATTCAAGTAAAAAATTAAAGTACCGAATTCAAGTACCTAAAAGATAATAGCACCAAATTCATGTAAAAAATTAAAGTACCTAATTCAAGTACGAAATTCAAGTAACCAATTCAAGTAGAAAATATAAGAGGGAACCAGAGGGAACTTTATGGAAGTACCAAATTAATTCACCAAAAATTTCCAAACTTTCCAAAATCCGAAACGTGCCCCCGTATTACAGCCCACGTACCATATTCCTGCTAAATACCTGGAGGAACTTCATGGTAGTACTAAATTTATTCACCCAAAATTTCTAACTTTCCAAAATCAAAAAAATTTCAAATTTTCCAAAATCCGAAATGTGCCCCCGCAGGCCACTGACCCCGACGGCGGTACTAACGGGGAGGTGACGTACCAGCTGGTACCAGAGAGCAACAGAGGCGGGTACTTTGCCATCAGTTCCACCACTGGTACGCTGGTCACCGCCAGGGTACTTAAAGACGTACCAGAGAACCTCAACCCGTTCAACCTGACCGTGGTAGCTCGGGACAACCCAGCCAACCGCAAGGGCAACCAGGACCAGATGCATGTGGTGGTGAGGGGGGAAAGGGGAGAGTGAGAGAGGGTTGGGGAGGTGAGAGGGGGAGTGAGGGTAAAAGAAAACAATAATTGAGGCGAGGAAGGAATGAAAGAAGGAATAAAGGAGTGCATTAAAGAAGGAAGCGAGGTAATGACAGGAAGAGCCGAAGAGGGATAAGAAAAAGTAGAAATTATATCGTCTTCACAATTATTAGAGAATACCCTCCTAACGCCATAGAAAACGCAAACTTTATAGAAAACGGCATGGAAAACCGTTGTATGGCAAACTATAACAGAATTGGTTGTTGCGCTGGTGATGTTTGTTGCAATTTTCTTTGTTGTGTGTGATTGTTCGCAAATATTTTGTTTTATATTTCTTGCTTACTTCCTATGTTGTAGGGCTGCCTTATCAAAGCTATGCTTGTTTGTTTTGGAGATTTAATCTTTAACCTTTCGGAAACTCAAACCAAAACTAACCTTCACACTTCCTAACGCTGGCTTGAGGCTTAAGCGGGCCCTCGTATAATGAAAATAGCTGCAGTCGTGATTAATTATAAATGTGATCTATAAATTAATATTATTCATTATTGATCATCATTATGGATTATTATGATTATTATCAATGAGTAATGTTTGTTCGTGACGCAGGTTAATGTGATCGGTCCCGCTCACCGCGTCGTGCTGCCCGTCCCCGCCCCTCCCGCCCTCCTCCAGGACAAGAGGGACGCCATCGCCGCCGCCCTCGCCCACCGGCCTGGTAATGCCCTCGCCTGCTACCCTCACCCGTTACCCTCACCCGTTACCCTCATACGTTACCCTCGCCCGTTACTCTCACCCGCTACCCCCACCTGTTACCCTCACCCGTTACCCCCACCCGTTACCCTCACCCGTTACCTCCACCCGTTACCCTCACCCATCATCCCCTCCTGCTCACCCACTTCCCGCTCACCCACCTCCCGCTCACCCCCCTC